TTTCTCTAGTAATGGAGATGCCACTCACTTGGGTGGCTAACAAATATTACCTATATATATATGAGTTCTCTTTCAGTTATAAGCTCAGAGTTTACATGTGAACCACAACAAAACATGCTAATGTTGAAAACATTTAATTTAGATCCATGCAACATCGAAATTTACATCCAATTATGTGGCAAGATGTTGGGCCGGTCCATCATACTGTGGGCTTAATGTGAATTTGGGCTTAATTCGGCCTGGAATTGTTTAGTTAACCTTTATTCTTGATTCAGTAGAGCATGGGCCTGATGAAGACTCGGTTGTCATGTGCTATTCTCTCACATTTAACGACCAACATTTACATAGATATGTACATTTTAAATACATATGCATTTATTTTTTTATAAGAATGTTAGATTTCAAAATATAACATAAATAAAGGTATTGCATTTTACACATTTATTTTTCATATTAAAATGTCATAACCTTTAGACCACATAGGACTTAAACGAGTTAAGTTAAGCTCGAACTCCTGACACCCGAGCTTTGGTCAAGCTTTTATCGACTCGAGTCAAGCTTTGTTGGTTAACAAAATAAGCTCAAAATTGACATATTTGATGAACCCAAACATTAATGAGTCGAACTAAACTTATAATTCAACAAATTGGTTTTTAGCATTGAGAGCCGCGGGCTCCATTGTAAGATAGATTTTCCCCATGTTGGGAATAGTTTGACTGGTTGACCATTGCAAATCAATAAAGAAATTTAACAATTGGATATCAATAACTCCAATCAAGAAAAATTTAAACAATTTGCAAATGGATTCTTAATTTGTCATTTTAGGGGAAAAAAAATTAGCTAGTCTTTCTAAATCAATGTGAGGCACATGCGTTACTCAAAAGAAAGATCATTAAGGCTTGACCAATGCCTATTATCATCCCATTATCCCAATCAGTCAGTCTCTTTCAGAAAACATAAATTAATGCAAAAGTCTCATCTCACCGTTTAAGAAAAGGATTTGCAGTTGAAATCCTGAAATCAACAGCAGTTATACCAACAAAGGAAAATGAAATCCCATCTTATTTATTCTTTCATTAAACCAAAAGATACAACAAAAGAACAATGACAACAATGAAAATCAGCAAATTACCTCAAAATCCCCACACATAATCTTTTACTCTATTGTAAAAAAAGAAAAAAAAAAATAGACTCTTTAGTTGTTTTAGTTTCATTTATTTATTCACACCTCAAATTCATAAACTGTAAGTAAATTGTGCAGTGAACACAAAAACAAAAGAACGAAAGAAAAACGAAGCATCATCTTTAGTGTATGAATCTCACGAGTCACGATCCTTGAATGTCGAAAGGTGGTGCGGTTATATTGTGCTTGTCGAGTAAAGTCTCGAGTGATCTCGATTTTCTCCTCCTAACCAATCCCGCCTCTTTCAGTAACTCGGCTAGCCTGCGTTTCTCATCGTCCACATCAGGATTCGCTGTCCCCAGCCTTTCCTCTCTTAACTCCACAACGTATTCCAATATTTCGATTGCATCACAAGTCCTGCACATGATATAAGAGTTCAAGCAAATCAATCCATTCTAAAACCTTAAAAAAGAGCCAAACATCTCTTTAACAAATCACTCTTTTCATACAAGAAAATATTAAATGCTAAAATACAAAAACTCCCAAAAATGTTTCAAAAAAAAATACTAGGCGAAATTACATTTTTAATCCTATTAGTTTAACGTCATAACAATTTTAGTTCTAAGATTCTAGCATTTCCGTCTGGTAATTTAATATTTTTGCAGCAAATTTCAAATCCTTTTAGGACTGAAATTGCACTAGATTCCCAGTTTATATCTTTGGGATGGTTGGATTTTTTATTAACAATTTAAGTCATGTAATTTAAAACTTCATTGCATTTTTTTTTCTGTAATTTAAAATTTTCGTTGTAATTTCAGTCCTCAATGATTGAAATTGCAGCAAAATAGTAAATCACGGGACCATAAGACAAAATGTTAGAACCTTGTGACTGAAATTACTATGACGTTAAACCAATAGGACTAAAAAAATGCATTTTTGCAGAATATTGCTAACTACATTACCTCCCCATTGCATCATAAGTTCCAGCAAGATTGCTGTAGACTCCCAACGTGTCGGCATGGTAGGGCCCACACTCGGCCTCGAGAATATCCCTCGCTTCCTCGAAAAGATCAGCAGCCTCGTTAATCGCGAAGATCTGCACGCACGAGAGGCCCATCTGATTCAACGCGATACCGAAAATGGCCGATTTTTTCTTTTCTCCAATCGCTCGGAACTTCTGAACCGCGCTCCTGAGCGACTCGTAAGACTCCGAATAACTCCCCAATATATAGTACAGAACTCCCATCTGAGCCTCGATCCCCGCTATTATCCCCTGCTGACCTGGCGCATTCCCGTACAAATTCACCGCCTTTCGCAGAAGCTCCAACGCCTTTTCCGGCTCGTTCAGGGACTCGAAAATGGCCGAAATATCCACCAAACCGCTCGCAATCTCCTCCGGCGGCACTCCGTTGAGCGGCTTCGAATAAATCCGAATCGCGTTTTCGCAGTACGATTTCGACTCGCTGAATTTTCCAATCTTGTTGTATAAATCGGCCAGACGAACAAAAACCATAGCAACCGAAGGGTGGCTTTCCCCCTTACTCGACTTGAACGTGTTGAGCGCTTTCTGATACGCGAAAACCGCCTCGTCATATCGTGCAAGCGACAGGTAAGCGTCGCCGATACTGCAGTCGATGGCCGCCACGTCAGCGTTCTGTCCTTTGGCGGCCATTGACATGCCCGCCAGCACGTAGTGCTCGAGGGCAGTTTCGTAATCTCCCCTCGACTCGCATATGAGCCCGAGAAGCCGCCGGTCAGCCGCCTCCTCCGGCGAGGCTCCGTTTTTTTGTTTATGGATTTCGAGCGCCGATAAACAGAGCTTTTCGGCCTCGTCGAACTGTATGGCTTGGACGTGGGCCTCGGCTAGATATCGACACGTCTCCGCAAATCTCGGGTCTTTTTCACCGAGGGCTTCGCGTTGGATCTCGAGGCCCGATTTGTAGAACGAGATCGAGGTCTCGATTTGGCCGAGCATCGCGTACGTGTCGCCGAGCTGCATGCAGCCCGCGAATTTCGCGAGCG